GGCTGCGGAAAAACATTCATCCAAAAAGCCTTACTTGCAAAGGTAGCGAGCGAAGGTCAAACAGCTATCCCTGTAGCGTTTACTGGTATTGCGGCAAGCTTAGCTGAAGGAGGACGTACCTTGCACAATCAATTCAAACTTCCTATACCTCTACTGGAGACGTCTGTATCAGGTGTGAAGCCTAATTCTTCGCACGGCAGATACCTCGATGGCGCGAAACTTATAATCATTAATGAAGCGAGTATGATACCTGCTATAGCTCTAAAACAGGGATCACACGATTTGTACATTTGTACACAAAATGCCAAATTTAGATTTGTCCACATTTGCGCATTTGGATAGCGATGTACAAATGATTTGTTTTGCGATCAGACGATTTGGCTGCCAAAGATCCAAATGATTTGGCACACATTTGCGCACAGCAGTAAAGTGACAAATATTGTCCACATTCATTCACACAATTTAACCATTTGGTCATAAAAACTTAAACAGCTGATCCGGTGTCAACCATATTTTTGCATTTATGATTTCGTGAGATTTGAAGTGAAATATACAAAAATAATATATACGCACAGGTACTCGGAATTTTGAATACACCCTCAAAATCTGGGCTGAAAGTAAAAAACGCGTTTTTCATAGGTTGAAGCATATACTTCCTCGTAACTTTATTACATATGCCATTTAAGAGAAAACATTTTGTCGTCTACAACCATTTATAAATGGTTAATCTGTCTTGAGAATGGGCACCCAATGTATGTATACTAGTTAACAAAATAGTCGGACAAATAGTAATTTAAAATGAAAAAATGTTAAAAATTAAAATTTTCCATATACTCTGTAAGATTCCTTTCAGTGATCGGACTTCTACCACATTGTTGTAGATCTGCCACTTTTTAGAGCACATCTACCACACAAGGTTTGAAATCTACCTACATATTGTTTTTAAGTAGTTTTATTTTTGCTCAACATAATTTTCTTAATTTTAAGAGCAAAAATTGTCCAACACTAAACCCTAACAGGCAGAATGGGAGGATAAAACAAACTGTAAAATAGTAAATTTTCTCAATATTCAACTTTTCGACATCAAACGTGGTCTTATTGTGTTAAATTGCAAAATATATGATTTATAAAAAGAATTAATAGCGAAAATGATAAAAACCGGCGAATTTTGTGAAAGGATTAGCAAATTTCAGTGCATCTCAAAATTTTAAAGCGTTTTCTACTTTTACTTTTACTTGAACTTGAGAATTGTCAAAATCTGCAAATCCCAAGTAGCATTTCTGGGACGAGCCACATTTGTTCGCTACATCGTGATGTGATAAAAATAAAAGCTGGCAGCACTCCGCAAGGTTGCAGAAATCTTTCAAAATATGTTCGAAACTGTCAAGGAAAAAAATTGCCAAAACTCAACGCAATTTTTATCAACTTCAATCTTGCACTTTATTATAGTACAAGTAATTTTTAGCAAAAAAATCCGACTTCAACTCTCATATAAAAAAATATATATATATATATTTATATATCTCATGATCCACTGATCGGATCTTAACCAGATTAGTATGGGACCACCTCTGAGACACTACCTTTCCGAGGCAAAAAGAATTATCGGTTGACGTGGTCCAAAGTTATGCGGTAACATACATAAAAAATAAATAAAAATAAAAATAAATATTCCAACAAACTGATAACCTCCTCCTTTTTTGGAAGTCCGTTAAAAATTAATTTTGTTTTAGATTATAATTAAAGTGTTTGCAATTTAGGTGAAACCTTGCAGATTTTTTTTGATTTTTGTACACAGTTTGATCCAAAACCTGAGATCTACCACTTTTTTTTTTCCAGATTCTACAACAAAATTTTTTTTTTTAAGTCCGAAAACTGATTCCTTTGCCATTTCTTAAGATAAATTATCAATTTAAACATTGTTGAAAGCAGCGAAATGTCTTATCTTGAATCGCATACATATATACGTATTTTTCACCGGGTAAACAGAAATAAAGTTACGAGCAAGTATGCCTGTGCGTCACCCTTTGATAAACGCGGTTTTTGACCTTAAGCCCAGATTTTGAGGGTGTATTTAAAATTCTGGGTATGCAGATTTTACTGCTTGAATATACCTTCAACAAGTATGAACCTCGAAAAAACTATATATATTTTTTTTTTGTCACACAGTGTAATTTAGATCGTCTTTAATAATCTGTATATCGTAGTTTAAAGTACAAAACCGCGTATCAACAAAATGCAAAGCCGCCTATCTGAGGCTGAATAAATTATTATCTAGATAGTCAAAACACTCATATTTCAAAATGGTTCTCTTTTTTATAAAGCAATCGCATTTCTGGATAGTATATTTCAGGACGAATGGATAAGGATTGAGCCAACAGCTTCTGTAAGCAAATCCTATTTTTAGCAGCAAATGTCAGTTACGCGATTTTGCAGAATGACGATACGCGGTTTTGTACTTTATACGACGATATGCATCTATGTATATGTGTATAGCCAGCAAAAACTGCGGAAAGAGATCCGAAAACTGAAAGAAAGGTGAATAGTAAAGTGCCACGAAGGGTTGTGAAACGAATACTTTGCCGGTTGGTTTTCTGAAATTTTTCATTCTGAACTTCACATATGCTTTTTCATAGTTAATTATACTCAGAAATTAATTTTACTTTTATAAATACTTTTTGATATATTCGTCTGCTGGCTTAAGAACCTGGGACCTCATGAAAGCTTACAAATAGTCGCACGCTTCTCTGCACACTCTCACTCAGCCACTGTCGAATACGTATATGTACATGTTTTCAAATGTTCAGCAAATTGTTTCAATTGAGAAAATATTTTAAAATCATTGTTTTCAAATAAGGTGATATTTTTCGGTAGTTTTCGGATGCGAATATTATATAAAATATAAAAATTTTACCAAAATTAGAAAATACAAAGGTTCACAAGCACGAAATGGCAATACCGCTCAACAATATTTGTATATTTATCACTGGCATTTGTCATCAAGTGGCAAATCAGATATTTGGTCATTTGCGTAATTTTTATTTGGCTTCAGCATTGCGTTCACACGATTTGGCCACCAGGTTTGGTTTTCATTTGCCACAAGAAGGCAAATATTTGGTTTTTCTGATCAATGACAAATGTAATTTAGCGTTCACATGATTTGTCTATCAATTTGACAAATTTTTAGCCAAATGTACAAATCGTATGATCCTAGCTTAACTGTCATAGATCGTATGTTTCGAGATAAATATGCGAGTTAATGAAGGCGAACACGAGTTTGCAAGTTACTTGCTCCAAGTTGGTAATGATCAGTTACCTAAGGATGCAACCGGACAATCAATTCTTGATCCGCGTCTTTTAGGTCACGGCTCACCAGTTGATTTTATTTACGAAAATTTACTAAGTGACATAAGCAGTGGTGCCATACAAGGAAAAGCTATTCTTGCTCGAACAAATGAAATATGTGCAAAAATCAATTTGTCGGTACCTGAGCGATTACCAAATTTAGAACGTACATATAAAAGCATTGATACAATTATTTCCGAATAGTCTTGAGGTGAGTGGTCTTCCGAGACACAACCTTAAGCTGAAAAACGACGCCATCGTAATGCTAATGAGAAATCTGAATACAGCGAAAGGTTTGATTAATTTATTAATCTTCATAATAATTCAATCGAGTGCATAATTCTTACCGGTACAAGCACCGGTAAGAGAATTGTCATTCCGAAAATTAAGCTCAGCCCTTCAGAAACATTTCTTCCTTTTAAAATGCAACGCTATCAGTTTCCAATATCGCTTGCATTCTCTATGACAATAAACAAAAGTCAAGGGCAATCACTGAATAAAGTATCAGTATACCTGCCCATCCCCGTTTTCACGCACGGCCAGTTATATGTTGCTCTAAGTCGTGCTAGATCTTTCGAAGGCGTAAAAATCTTTATAGGAGAAAATGATTTTCAGAAAATTTTACCAAATAATGAAGGTTTTACTACTACAAATATAGTTTTTTCAGAACTAGATTAATGTATTGTATTTTCTAATTATGTGAATATTTCAAATAAACAAACAATTTTTAACCATGTAGATACATATATACATACATATATAATTCATAATCTGTGCTGATGGTAAATAACGTAATGTTTATTATTATTTTATACGATGCAATTTGAGTTCGTTTGATGCAAAAACAATTTTCGCAAATTTTTCCAAATTTCTTCCGTTGTGAGAAATATCTTCACCAATGATTTTGACGTTTAAACGCCATACGGGTTTACTAGTATTTCTTATTACTCAGAGTACCTTCAGCGGCACTGATTTTTATTTTTTAATTTTTACTTATAGAAATCAAGTTTAATCATTATATTTTGAGATTTACTTTTTACTCAGAAAATAATCATTATGTTTTGAGTTTTATTTTTTGCTCGGAAAATAATCGTTACGTTTTAAGTTTCATTTTTTGCCCGGAACAAACTCGTTACGTTTTAAGTTTTTTTTTTGCTCGGAAAATAATCGTTATGTTTTGAGTTTTATTTTTTGTTCGGAAAATAATCGTTGCGTTTAATGTTTTATTTTTTGCTCGTAAAATAATGGTTACGGTTTAAGTTTTATTTTCTACTCCGAAAATAATCGTTTCGTCTTAAATTTCATTTTTTGCTCATAAAATAAACGTTATTTCTTGAGTTTTATTTTGTGCTCAGAAAATAAAACTTAGTTTTTGCGTATGCGTATGCGTGAATGCCTAGGGCCTTACTATATGTCACATAAAGATCCTACGTACAGCGACGAGGCTTCTCGAGTGCAAACCGATATTAAACCAATTATAAAAAACTTTCGTTTTGCGAAATCTAAATACTTGTTTAGTGCCATTCTTATTAACAGTTACAAAAAACTTTAACTAAATGTGTTATTTACATATGTGATCACCACTGTATGTATAAAAGTATAAATGATGCTAATTAAGGAATATACAAAAATCTTAACCTAAAACTTTTACTCACATGATCTACAAAATCATAACGGAAAACATTTCCTTCAACATTTTTAGGAGCTGCGTTTGTATAGAAATGTTTACTCAAAATTATTTTATATTCTGATTTAGTATCTTCAACTGTAGATGACAATAGCATTGTGCATTTTGATGATTTTACTTTTGAATCCAACTGATTTTCCTTAAACATCTGATCTATGTTATAATATGGAAGTTGGTGAGAGCGAGGTATGTCATAGCTCTCTTCAACAAGCGAGCTGGCTTCTTTTGGTCCAATTGCTGGTGAAGTGTTTTCTGTGTCGGATAGTTGAGACATTTCCTTTGATGTTCTGTATTTAAACACAAATTTACGAAAAAGACCACAAATTACGTCACAACATACGCAAAATTACCTTTCATTTTTTTTAATATCTAGGGACAAATTTCGTGTATTTCTCCACACCTTGACTTTATCGCATTGTTGAGATTTTGTCCCAGAATCTACATTATATTTCAACTCGTTTCCTTTCTCATTAACATCATCAGGTAATTTAGAAAATCTTTGAGAGTAAGTCAAAACAAATGATTCGTTCTCGAGAGAGCTGTCAGAAGGAAGCGTACTGCGATCTAAAAAAAAAATGGGTTTTATCCGTGGTACAATTACACAGTGCAACAATCAAAAAGTGATGGGAATGAGACCAATCGCACTCATTAAAAGAGGTCAAAATATGAATAAATACCAAAGCATTTGTAAATTTTCTTTTTATATCGATTTGATGTTGGGAATTTAAGGTTCAAAAATAACCTAATAGTACATTGATGTTTTTTTGATTTCGCTCACAAATTTCATACGTACATACATACATACATCAACATATCGTCACCTGAAATGCAAAAAGACGTAACAATCATCGCCGCTGAAATTCAAAAAGTCCTAACTAATAAAAAATTTAACATTCAGTTTTTGATTGATATGACGGATTTCATCGAATTACAACTCCCACATCATTTAATGAAAAAAATATAAAAATGTTTAGTCACGACTTTTTCCATTTCAGTTACGATGTTGTTCCGTCTTTGCAGGTGACGATATATACATATATATACAATAAAAATTTGTTCACTCCTCCTTTGGAAAATGTGATTTTAAACCATACGTTCTCATTGGGATCTTATTTCTCCAACCTCAAATTGAGATAAAAAAGAAATAGTAACCAACTTTTTCAAATTCTTTGGTGCTTTTTCATTATTTGACCAGCGTAATTAAATGCTGTTTTGTCGCACAGTGTTATTACAGGTATAGTCTTCCCAGAGAGCGTATGTATATTCAGATCTGCCTTATTCACAAAACAACAGTGTTGCCCCTACTAAAAGGTTCACGATAAGTAAAGTGGATATTTCCAAACACCATATGCACATACATACATATCGTCGTTTAAAGTACATAACCGCGAATCAACAAAATTCAAAACCGCTTATGTGTGGTAGCATAAATTATTTTATAGAGTAAAAACACCCATATTTCAAATGGTTCTCTTTTTTATAAAGAAATCGCATTTCTGTCTAGTATATTTCAAGACGTATGGATAAGGATTGAGCTAAGAGCTTGTGTGAGCAAATCTAATTTTTGGCAGCCAATATCAGTTACGCGGTTTTGCAGAATGACGAAACGCGGTTTTGTACTTTAAACGACGATATGTATTTTGCATAAAACTTATTTAAATTACAAATACCAAATTTTTATTGCTCAAAATTTTTTATTTTGTTTTGGATACAAGTTTCTTCCTAATATATCTAATTTACAAAATAAAAATTATTCACGTACTTTTTTGAGACGCCTTTCAGTACCGCATCCATGCAAGTTCGCTGGGATCGAAATGCCTCGTAACTGTGTAAACCACGTAAATGAACCGGTTCTCCATTGTTATGACCGAAAATTTATTTTAAATATTCTGGTCAGCTTAGTCAACCGATTTCTTATGCCAATAGTATAAAAACGTAAAGAAGGCCTGTTATTGAGTGCCAAGTAGGTGCAGTAATTCCTATTCACCTATGTGGTGTATATGTACCCCAATCTTGCACTTTACAATGCAAAATACACATACATAAATAAACAGCGAAATGGTACAGGAGATATTATACTGTAGTGTATCAGAAATGCATATCTACATAACAAAGTTCCACACTCGCCAAAAGTGCATTAAACTTATTTTGTCGGTAATGCAAACAAATTGTGGTTCACACGAAATATTATCGAATGATTGATTTCTGTTTACACTGCATTCTCCCATAAGCATATTTTGCTAAGATAAGCTAATCTGCATATGTATGTGCATAAGTGTCTGGCTGCACATACATGTGTTTGTAAGACTAGTATGTAAGAAGTATAATAAATATGTATTATAGTAAATAAGAAAACATAGAATTAAATATGTTTAAATTTGTATAAATTAGGAAAGAATTAATAAATAAGAAAGAATATTCGATAAGCGCTCGACTACGCAACAACGCATTTCTCGTCGTTTTATTACATGGCGATCCTGCCAGATCTAGCGGCAACTTGCCTTTTATAGTGGCAAGCTGCCTTCAAGCGGCAAAATATCCTGCCAAATCTAAGGGCAACTTGCCTTTTATAGTGGCAAGCTGCCTTCAAGCGGCAAAATATCCTGCCAAATCTAAGGGCAACTTGCCTTTTATAGTGGCAAGTTAACATTCGTACTATCAGAACACCGTTAGTAGCTGACGTAGCTGTTAACATAAAAAAGCTACACAACCTCGCCAGCCGGGCAACGTTTCGACCTCAAAATGAACAAGTTGGTGTCCATTGCCAAGCAGCAACCTCATTTCGGCAAACAGGAAGTCGAAATTTTCATCGCCGGTTTGCTTCAGCAAAAAACTGCGTGACGCTGAACGTTCTAATCAGAGGCTCATACAAGCTTATTTAAAAATTTACAATGGGAAACTGCAGGTAAAAAGCAACCAGGAAGATGACTCTATATAGGCTGTTTAGCCAAGCAAGAAATCCAGACGGAAAAAGGAGAAAAAGGTGTCGTTAATTTAATATCAAAATAATAATTATTAATATTTTGGCAACCTAACGGCTGCTTATTGATTGGCAAGAATTGAAAGATTTATTTAAATTATTTAATATTTAAATTAAATACTAACAAAATATTTTGGCAACCTAACGGCTGCCTACTTGTTGGCAAAAATCGAAAGATTCTTGCCGTTTCATACTAAAACATTTATATAAAAACAAGAGAAATTTTTTTTTTTTTAATATTTTTTTAAACATGAAAACAAACTAATAAAATAAGTATAACGAAGAAATTAATATTATGAAACAGTTAGAATTAAAAAAAAAATTTTTTTTTTCTGGGTATCATTAGAAATAGAAAGGACCCCAACAATAGAGGTGAAGTAAACCCCACAGCTAGAGTTTTTTTTTCAACAAAATGGGTGGACAAACATCAAAAATAGATAAGCCTAATGCTAATGTAGTAAACTCCATTGAAATAATAGATCATAGCGAAGCGTTAAATACCATAAAGGTAATGCTTTTGATTATTAGTATTGCAAGCTGCATAAGCTTATTTTTAAAGATTTACTCTGCACATAATAAATTTCTGAAAAAGAGGTACATGAGCCGTGCTGACGGTCTAGATAAGGTTTAAACAAAATTTTATTTTTTTACTCTTTCTCTTAGCCTCCCTTCCTCAATGAGCAAATGGGAAGACATTTTTAAGGCACTCGTAGAAGAAAAAACTACAGCAGAAAAATCTTACAAGTGAATAAACAAAAATAAAGGAAGAAACAGTAGTGAAACATCTCACACTAATACATATTAGATTCATTAAATAGATTAGGTTCGGCAATACGTAGTGTAAATAGCCAACTAACTAGCAGTCACCAAAAAGAGGCATACCAAATATTTTCTAGTGTTAGGGACAAATAGGTATCCTCACTAGCAAGGTATAACATAGAGGAGACAGTACCAACTACAATCGAACAAAATATACAAATAGATCTCCCTCCGACCTAGACGAAGACCAAAACGGAATCGAGTATCAGATACTAAATTCCCAAACAACAAACGTCAAAATGGCACAGACAGCAGTAGAATTCATTAAGACAGCTGCAATGAAAATTCAATCCGAGACATAAAGCAAAAATTAAAATCGACTATTAAAGGTGAGTCAGTGGAGGTTTTGACAGCAAAACTACTGAACATACAACAACGTAGTAAAACTGCCAACCAGTATACTACTGAAATAGAGAAACTAACAAAATCATTAGAAGGAGCATACATATCTGACGGATTAACACCAGAATTAGCAACCAAATATGCTACACAATCAGCTGTAAAAGGCATATGCAAGAATTGCTCTGAAATAACGGGTAGCCCAAACCCAGCTTTGCACATACGCCAACAAGGCTACTACCGTGGTAGCTTCCGTAGAGGTTACCAAGGTAACGGCTATAGAGGTTGTCAAGGTAATAGATTCAGGACACCGCCCCGATACAACAATAATTCAAGACAAAATAATCACTTTCAAAACAGGAATAGAAATTTTAATAATCAATCGCGAACTAGTCGCAATGATACTCGCAATGTTCGTAATTGCAACCAGCAGGAAAACCAGCAAACTACACTTCAACAGTAGATAACAAAAAAGTGCGTGTACTTAAGCTACACCTAAATAGCTACATATCTTCCAAAACTTCTTTAAATAATTCAATTTTAACTCTCTTGATAGACACAGGAGCAGACACATCAATTATAAAAAAAGGGTCAAATTGATAGTAATATTACAATTAATAATTCACAAATAACAGATTTGAAGGGCATTGGTCAAGGAATCACAAACACTCTAGGTACAGTCAAAGCAGATTTAAAAGGAGATGATATCTTAATTACACACAAATTTCATATAGTAGAGGACAATTTTCCAATTCCATGCGATGGAATTCTAGGGTTAGATTTTATAAAGAAATATAATTGCATTTTAGATTATCGAAAAGATGAAGATCGATTAATATTGAGACCTTATGACTTCCCAGAAAATATAATAATTCAAATGATAAATAGACCAACTATCAATAATATCACAATACCAGCAAGATCAGAAGTAATTTGACAAATTAACATAAAAACTGACAATTCTGAACTTTTTATTCCCCATTAACAGAAGGCATTTTTATTGCTAACACCATAGCAAATAAATATCAAACGTTTGTTAGAATCATAAACACCACAGACAAAAACGCAGTTATTCAAAATTACAATGTAAAAGCAGAAAATTTAAATGACTACATACTAATTAAAAACGCTTCAGAAAATAAAAATAATAGTAAAGAAAAATTAGAGACTAAATAAGCACTTTCCACAATTTGCTAGCCAACAATTAAATTCAATGTACGCAGAATACATAGACATATTTGCATTAGAAACAGAACCTATTACTTCCAACAATTTTTATAAACAAATACTACATATGAAAGATGAAAAATCAGTTTATGTAAAAAATTACAGATTACCACAGGCTCATAAGGATGGAATAAATAAACAAGTAAATAAACTAATTCAAGATGACATAATAGAACCATCTATGTCAGAATACAGTAGC